ATTATTAAATCGATTAATGGGAAAAAATAATTGACAGATTAATCGATTTGCATAATAATCATTAGTTGCAGCCCTAGTTTGCAATAAGGAAACGTGCAGAAAAACTTGCTCATTTAAAACTTAAATTACAATTGAAGTTCTACAATATTAGGAAAATGAGCAAATACAACATTTTCTTGAAATTTGTATTCATTTCTGTTGCAGTTGACCTACATATTCTCTATTTAGTATGCTTAGCTGCACAGCAGAAATCCGATAACTATATCAGATCTAACACGTTTACATGCAGCACAGATATTAGATATTCAAGAGATTTGTTTTCTACACCTTTCACCCTCCTATCACATTTTTACGCTTACTGGATGCATGCTCGAGGACATAGTGGTGTTTCTTGAAGATCTTACGGAGGCACGGGGGAAAGACAACTTTAGGATGTTTCAGAACATTCCTGAAACTTTGCCAGCTGATGAAGAACATGCCTCACAATGAGAGACATGCTCATCCTGCGGATTATACTTTTTTCAATTTCAGTGACACAGAAGATGAGCACAGAAACGCCACCAGCCCTCAGTCTGGCTACACCTCCTATCAATCAATGTATGTAATATATTTAGGAAAGCTAAAACTACAAAATTACCACTTTGTAAGCAAATGAGACAAATTACTATAATAAAGCAGCTCTTTAATCAACTCCCTGATCAAGATTTTTTTTATTATTTTAAACATTCAGATGTTAAACAATGCAATTATCCAGACAACAGGGCTTTTCTAATGTTAAATGTAGCTGTGGTTGAAGGAGATTTAACCATAGTATAACAATAACATTAACAATCTTCTTTTTTGGGACAAAAAACAAAACAAAAAAGAGATTTGGGTGCACGATAGGTTTTACAATGAATGCATTATGACTTTATTTGTACTTTCCACAGTCATCTAAAAGGTCTACCCCATACTGTCATCCGGATTACAAGAAAAATAAAACCGTAGACCTGTTTAAAGTCTTTTTTTTCTTCTCTTATTTTAAAATGGCCTCTCAGGTGACCCAATTTGCTCCTTGATAAGCCGCTCTTTGTAACACACCATATCAAACACCCTTATTAACGATACATTCCCTGCAATTAGGCTCTATGGAAGTGAGTAGAAGCATGTCGAACGGGTGAAGGTGGCTGCTGGCCCACACAGGGAGAGCAGCATAGGGTTACACACGCATGCACCTGATCTATCCGTCCTGACTGTATCATCTTTCACACGGACAAACATGCACACAGAAAAAAAGGTGCATGATTTATATCCATTAGGACAGAATTCAGCAACAGTTATTACAATTATTAACCATACCCCTCCCTTCTAGCACATGTTTGGTATTGTATGCACTGGTTGCCATAGATAACACTGGTTTCACACAATGTGAGACCTCAAGTTGGTCAATAAGGATGACAGGAGGTCAATACTTCAGTCAGCTTTGCCAAACAAATACATGCTGGGTTTTAATCACGCGATGTATGCGATTCACACGGCAAACTTTTATTTTAGGTAATCATAATGTGGTTTGAACCTTATTTACACAGACATTTCTAACTAAAAGCGTATTGCGTAATCTAATTGCTACTATCTGCAAATAGACATGAAGCAACGTTTCCTTCCGCTGCTAAATCAACATTGACCATTACAGTTTCACTCGGCATAGATTGATGTGAGCAAAACAAGTTTATATTGGTTGGGCGGGTAGCCATTGTTACGTTGTCTATGGTTTTTTTCCAAACCAGGACAGCCTTCTGGTTTTCCATCACATTAGGCATTTCAGATGGGTTAGATTTGTATCTCCTTTAATAGAGTAATTAAGTGTAGAGTCCTTTTTATTAACCTAGCCGACCGCTACTCATCAACATGCCAAATAAGGGGAACGGTATTAAATCTACCTTACTGCTGGAGCTAGATCAGAGCTCAAGTTGTTCAGTGAAATCAGTGGCTCCTCCAGAGATGTTTCATAGGGGTGGCCAGATGGGGCCACTAAAAATCTTAGGGGGGCACACTGAAACTAAGCCATACTTTCAGGTTTTGAATCTACTATTGTGGTAAAACATAGATTTAAGAAAACACCTACTCATGTCTTGGTTTATTATGTGATTTTTAAGTTACCGTACGTCGCTGGCTGTGCATAAAGGGATGAAATGCTAAACTGATGCTATTACAATTTAGACTGGCCAGTGGGGTAGCCAGGAAATTGCAATGGTGGTCGCACCACTGATCAAAATAAAGTACCACCTTAATGTAGATAGGGGGTCTCATAGGAAGGATGCTTCAGATGTATAAATGTTTCTGTCCCACAATAATGGGGGACATACAAGAGACAGTAAACCTGTTGCCCTGTCCATGGTTTTTTTTGGCCCAACTCAGCAGAACAAGACAGACTACCAGGAAAAGGCTACTTTTGCTTTTTTTTCCCCCAGGTAGTCTTCTAAAAAAAAAAAAAAAAAAAAAAAAACACATAAGTATTGTGATACATTTGTTATGTGTGTTTTAGATAGCCTTAATGTTAAATAAGTATTGCAGCAGACTGTCCATCAAAGCTAAACCGAGCCTCCTAGAGTTTGGTCACTTTTGTTATCAGTTTAAAAAATGAGCAGTGCTTGCAGAACTACAGAATGTCTGAAGAAATGGTAAATAGCCTGTATTTGTTTGAGCACTTTTCCAGAGACCTCAAAAAGCTTTATGCTACATTCAACACAGGGTTCATACAACTTTTTCATGGTCTAATTCAAGTACTTTTCAAGAACTTGCAAGATCAGTTTGCAAGGTTTTTGAGTACCGTAACAAGTTGTAAATTGCATAATGTGACACAAATTTGTGCACATGCAAAATGTCGGTTATTTTCCCTTAATAATAAGTGTGGCTGAAACAATATGGATTAATCAATTATTGAAATAATCTGTTAATTTAGTAATCGATCATATAGAGTCTATAAAACATGCCTTGAGCTGACAGAGCAACAGACTTAGAGCAGTAATTATACCAAGTATGCATAAACATATATATATTTTGTCTGTCAATATGCTCTCCAGAACTCCACAAGTGGAAAGGCTGTAGTTTCACATGGTTTGATTTCATAAAAAGTCTTCTTTAAAAGACTTGTTGGCTATAAGATTATTAATCAATAAAATAATCCACAGATGAATCGATTTGCAAAAATAATTGTTAGTTGCAGCACTAATAAGTATAATTAAAATATGAAGCATTTACAAGGACCAGACAAAATGGAAAATATTAAAATTCAAGCTTTTTTAAGGATTTGAAGCACCTATATGAAACCTGACAATCATTTAAACATTCCCACGCTGATGGTGGTAAACTACATTGTAGCCACAGCTGCTCGGGTGCAGACTGGAAGAAGCAAGGCTGACATTGCAATTTGGCAAAGCAGGTGTGAATGTTTTGCCCAAAGGCAAAGACTGATGGACAGAGCAAAACTGGCAAATCTACTGGACAAACTGCTAACTGCTGAGACACTGGAGGTACAGTAGGGTCCAGTGAGGTAAATTTCTGCAAATGTAGGACAGTTGTGGAAATCTTCATTTTTGTGACAGTCCACAGAAAATAAAATCTTGTTTCTACAAGAATAAGTATGGTTATATATTAATATGTGGAATAATTCTTAATAAAAGGTCACATAGATGTCTTAAAACAGCTAATAACCAATATCTTATGCGTTTAAATCTGCTACTGCAATTGTGTTCCCAAGAGTAATCATGTGAATAAACCTCTTCAAATACAATATTAATTGTATTTCTTTTTTAATAGAAGTATTACATGGCAAAAATTAGCATTTTAGAAATTAGCAGAAAACAGAATAGTTTTGCATGAATTTGAAATGGAAACAACTATTGGAGAGGCTTGACATCCAGTTTGTGTTGTTACTTTGCTACATACAGCTAAATATAAACAAATTCAATAAGCAGAGCACCCCCACCCCCTCTTAAAATGGGAGAGTGATGGAAGCTGTGCACCTAAACCAGGGGTGCAAGTCAAAGATTCTTCACATCTAAATTCTCAAGAGATGTGTTGCCCGAAGGCATATTCATGGCTTTATTCATACAGTCAGGATTTCACACTTTTTCAGGTGCCTGCATAAAACATGTTGGTACCTCCTCCTGAACCCCCTGACTATTTCACAAAAGCCCAGCCTAAAAAAGAATTTGGAATAAAGTTTTATTGCCAAGTCTGTTGCTCATGCGCCCACTTATAATGGTGCCCTGAGCATCCCCCTATGCCGCCTATAAACTGCCTCTAGCAGAGTCCTGCTGCATCTGGGCCTCTAAACTCAGCAGTATAGTTGCAATGTACTCTGTACTCTGAGACTTTCCTTTGTTAAATAAAAAACTTTGGCTAATTCCATCACATAGATCAATGTCTTAGAGAGATAATATAAACTATGGACAGAGGCGAAGCCAGAAGGTTTTTATAAGGGTGGCCAGGCAATAACCAATGTATACTGAGGGGTGGCTGAAAGTAGATGTTTTTGTTGTCAAGTAAATGTTAATATATGAAAAATTTAAATGTTTTGAATATTCCACTTGAGAGTATTACTGTTGCCACCATCTGTATTAGAGGGAAAAAATGGTAGGGGTGGCCAATGATTGGCTAAGGGTGGCCATGCCCCCCCCCATCTAGCTCCGCCCCTGACTATGGAGGCTTAAAAATAGAAGTAATGCAATCCTTCTTTCAGTCAGAATAAAAACAAAACAAAAAAGCAGTGGTGGGCTTCTTTCAGCAAGCTAACCAGCAGTGTGCAGCGCTCCATTTTTCTTGATTAATAAAGGGACAGGTAGCTGAAATGATCTGAACACAGACAATTATTAGAGTCTCTCTTTCAATGCTTCTTCACCAGAGATCTTAATCAACATGCAAAATGTTTTATATCCCCTCCAAATTGAAATAATTGGTCTATAAGGCCCAGTTTGGACCAGATTCCTCTCGCAGGATGGGTGTGCTCTCTCACTCACCTTGAACACCTCGGAGAAGAAGCCCGCCCCGATCTTCTCTCGGCTGAAGTCATCCAGGCGAGCCAAGGTGGACACCGCGCTGCGCAGGGCCCGGTAAGAGGACGGCCGGCTGCGGTTGGTTCCATGGACGCTGTGCATGGGCGGCTCTGCGGCTCCCTCCTGCTCCGAGTCGACCTTCTCCATCTCGGGCGGCGGAGGAGGAGGAGGAGGGGGGTGGGACGTGTGCGTAGTTTAAAATCCAGCCCGACTTGTGTTTACATTTCCACAGCAAGCCCGCCGAGGGCCACCGCTGGGCTCCCCCGGAGGAAGAATGGCGACAAAAAACAAAAAAATAACCTGGAAATGCTGCGCCGCTGTGGTCAGAGACCGGTTGGACCGAATTCCTGAGCGGAATTCCTGCAGAGCTCCGGGACAAGCTGGAGTCTGTGCGCCTTCAGCTGCAGCGGCGCATCCTGCACAGTTTGGCTCCCTGATGCGGTGCAGCAGAGCAGGCCCTCCGCTGCAGACACTGCTGCTGCAGAAGCCGCTTCCTCCGTCGGTTTCCTGCAGTGGAAAAAGGCCGGGGCTGCCTCCCTGGTTCCACCAATTGAATTTCCAGCGTGCACCAAGCCGCCTTTCTGGCGCTGCAGCCTATTCGAGCTGGAGAATGGGAGGAGGAGGGGGCGGACACACACACACACACACACACACACACGCAGAGAAAGAGGCGTTAATTCACTAAATCATGTTGTGATGCGTGTCTGATCCACGCAGAATGATGATCCACATGATAACGGCTGCGCGTGAAAAAAAATCATTACAACTAAACGCAAAGGCTGATAGGAGAGGTGAACGCACCGTGATATCACTTCCACTTATCATTAATTGCACTTTAACCCTGTTCTACTCACTTGGAAACAGTGGCTTTAAAACTCAATCACTTCGCGTGGGAATTCTCTACGTGTCTGCAGCCACCGCGCAAAAACTGCAGCTTGTAAATGATGGATGCAGACCGAGGGCTCGTCTGTCACGCACTCCACGCACGCACCTTCAGAGCCTTTAGTCTGAGCTGGAGAAAAGGAAAAAAAAAAAGGCTGACGCGCAACCGCACCGACCCGGAGCGCAGACACGCGTGGTTGCCCACAGAGAAGCTGTGACTTACCTGGCTGGCCTCCTCTGCGTCCTTTCGTTGTGGTTCCAGATCTTCTGCGTTTCCGGGAGTTTTTTTTTTAGGGTTTAATCGATCGCGTCTTGCACCCATGCAGGATCCGCTGGTTAGTTTCCGCTCCTCTCCTCCCTGCTGCCTCACTGTGGGTTTGTCCGCTCGGTGGAAAGGGAGCGACGACTTTTACTGCACTTTAATGGAGGCGGCGGGGCGGGGCGTGTCCACACGTGATCATCACAAAAATGCACCTGTGGCGACGGCTGGAGGAGTCTGTGCTCTGCATCTGCTTTACGACTTTACGCAAATAAACATTTAAAACAAAAAAAGGAACATTTTAATGTTTTTGCATTGGAACAAATTGTATTTAACATTCCTCCTGCTAAAAAAAACTAAATAAAATCTTCTTCCGTTCTTGAGGCTTATGTGCAGAGCCAGCCATAGTTATAAGCACAAAATGCGGCTGCTTAGAGCTAAAAGGATTTGAAATATTAGGCTGCGTTCACACTGCAGCCTAAAGTGACTCAAATCCGATTTTTTTGCCCATATGCGACCTGAATCTGATCTTTTCATGGCTGTCTGAACAACACAGATCTGATTTTTTTTCCAATGCGACCCAGGCCACGTGGTTATGTGGTCCTGAATCCGATACGAATCTGATCTTTTCAAATGCGGTCAGATTCATCCGACCTGAACGTCATTAATACCCGACAAAAGTCACTATTCTGCGTCTTTCTATGAAGAAGCGGCAAGAAAGACAACAACCATGGCAGATGATGATGCGGAGAGCAGTATTACGTTTAACCATATTGAAAAGATTCTGTTTTTACTGGTTGGAAAAGATCGCTAGATGCGCCCCGGCACTACCATCCATGTTTACTTCCGTAAACATATAGCACGCTGGCCTGTGACGTCATTGCGTACTCTACTGCGCATGCGGGACACTTGGGTTGTGTGACTGCAGTTCACACAGGAGATCAGATACAAGTTGCATATATTTGGAAATGTGAACGGCAACGTAAAAAAATTGGATTTCGCAGAAAAATCGGAATTGAACATCAAGGCCTGCAGTGTGAACGTAGCCATTGACAGTTTTAGAACAAATT